ATATGGTGAAGCAGAGTAAGGCACTTTAAACACCGGAATGTTCTTTTTCCTCCTTTGCCCTTTAGATTATTGGGAAGCGTCTTCACAACTTTGACGTCTTTTGACAAGGCTGCCATGAATTGGTCCTCATTGTAGAGATAGGCAAAACTTTTAAACTGAGAACTACGTAAAACCATAAGACACAAACAATAAGTACTGAATACATCAATTTAGGGCACGAACAAACAAAGCCGAGATTGTAATGATTGTCCAAAAAGGTAAACCTTATGCCCTTGCTGCTTGTGGTTGATTGGATCTCAGGAATCACTAACGTTGCATTAAGAAACCGAGAAACCACAACTACATCACATATCTGAAAAACCAATAAAATGCTGCAGCTGTAAACTTTTAAGACAATTGAATACAATCGAGAACAGGCTATTAAAACATGAACCCCTTACCGAATTCCTGATCTCATGAAATCCGCCTTGTATCCTGACAAAGATAAACCTGCTGGTATCTGAATCGGGTTCTGTGACACACAAACACATTTCACTTTAGAATGATTCCATATTTGTTCACAATTCAAATAGATAAATAAACATCCTGAACACAAATTTCAAGGTTTCCATACACAAAATTTTAAACATAAAGCATATCCTTCTGCGCTAATCACGATTATAATAACACTGATCAAGTTAAACCAAGGACCCCACCGATTGTGTTAAACCTATAATCCGACATAAAGTAAGATTTTAAACTTTTTTTTTTCTTAAGAGAAAGAAGTGTTATCATCAACCTTTTTGGTAGCATTGATTCTGCAGAGAAAATCCTTAAACCGAAATAACTGTCTAACATATGCCTCCACTCCAGAAAGCATTAAACCGATATCGAAATCACTATAGCAAGATGAAAAGTAGGCTAACCGGCATAATGTCCTCTGGGATTTGCATTCGGCTGCAAAGATTCGAGATGCCGAACCGGACCCCATAGCCTTCTATACATTGGACTCTGCACACCAAAGTAGAAGGATTAGTAAAACTGATTTCAGAAAACCAACAAAATTGATATGAAAAAACATAATTGATATAAAAAACAAAAAAAACGGATCCACACTAAATTCACACACTCAAACAAAACCCATTTCAGAAAACCAACAAAACATTTTTTGTCTGAATTTCCCTTAATATCGAAGACAAAAATCCCCGAGAAAATCAATGTCACAAAAACAACAATGATTGCCACTTTCAGAGCAAGAACAATACTTTACCAGAAGAAAACAACAAAACAAACATAACCCAGAAACAGAAACGCACTCAGGACTCAAACTCCACAAAAATATGAGAGAAAGAGAGAGTGAGATGAGAGAGCGAGAGAGAGAGAGAGAGAGAGCAGTTAAGCAGAGCAGATGAAGTTGGGAAAGATGAGATCTTTGATGGGGGGGGGGGGTTAAGTGAAACGTACAGTCTTGGAAAAATTCAAGCTTTCACCAATGGCTCTTCTGGGGAAGATTGTGATGGAGGAGTGGAACTCTGAAGCAGCAGCCCCTTCTGTGAATCTGGCCAGCAGAAAGTGCACAAAGAGAGAGATAGCTGAAAGAAACAGACCAACCAGTCCAACCCATTTCATCTTTGACCTCAAGACCATCTTCCCCTCCCCTTTCATTGAAACCCCACTTCAGGATCAGAACTCCAACTGCAACCGGTTTTTGCAGAAGCAGGGAGGGAGAGAGAGAGAGAGAGAGAGAGAAGAGAGAGAAGTGGTTTTGTTTGAGTAGAAGGAAAAGTCACAGAGAGGGAGATGATGCGGCACGTGCGAGTGAGATGCACATACACACCACCACATTTGAGTGTTTGAGTTGAATGAGACCAGGCATGGCATTTTATTACATTAAATATTTGACGTTTTTAATAAATAGCTGTCTGATGGCACCCCACTTTCTGCTGCAGCGCGTGTATATCATCGTCAGACCCAATTGGGAAATGAGGGCTGGAGGGTGTAGGATAAGCGATGGCGAAGTGTTGAATGTATCTGGTGAAGCTGTATGATTGGAAAAGCGAGGTGGGAAAGATGGTGTTGGAGTTTAGTCACGTGATGTAAAGGTTGTGTCTTTATGTCTTTGGGTTTACAGAGAAAATGACTTATATAGTATGTGTTCATCGTTGTATTATATTTTGCTTTAACAGTACATTGATGTGTACGTTTTTTTTTCATATAACAATGTATTATTGAACCGAGATGTCGCAGTGATATAATTCATTATGGGGTGTGATATCCACACATTCCATTTTACTTATCACACACATTTTTAGTTTTCGACCGTCGAATCAGATGAATTGAAGAAGATCAACGGATAAAAATTATCAAGGAGTATGTAAGAAGTAAAATGAGGTGTGTGAATAGCACACCCCTTCGCCCATGAGCGGTAGGTCTCGGGTTCGAGACTTGGGAGCAGCCTCTCCATAAATGGGGGTAAGGCTAGCCGACATTCACCTCTCCCAGACCTTGCGTAAAGCGGGAGCCTTGTGCACTGGGTACGACCTTTTTTTTTGTGGTTGTGTGTGTGTGGTAGAATATAGACAAAAGGGTGTTTGTGTGAAAAGGAAAGAAAGGAGCTTTTGGGTGGAAGGATAAGGTGGGCACAAGGAAAAGTTTAGCGATTAGGTCACCATAGATTTTTGCTTCATTTTGAAATTTCAATGGGGAAGAAGAAACTGATAATGCAATGATGTAGATAAATGGTAGAGATTCTTCGATTGTATTTGTATCTTTCGTCACATAACGAGTGTATAGCTAATCAGTTACACATCAAAACAAGTAGGAGTGGCATGAGGATGTGCAATGCCTAGGCCAGCCATCTCTTTATAAATATTTTATCTATGCTAATTTTTGGTAAACTTTTGCTATGCACTTAAAACTTAAACTTCGTCTCTCTTTTTAGAGTAACTGACTTGAGCATCGGAAATTTAGCCAACCCCTCCACTCACCTTGTGAGCACATGTGTCGCTTTGGTCTTGATTAAAAAGTATTATTTGTTTTGTAGGTACAATTTCGTCAATACTGAAAATTGCGAAAATTTATTACCACAATTATTGTGGAGGTGGATTCTTTGCCCTCCCATTTCTATACTTTTCTTATCCCCTCCTGTTTTGTGTGGTCACGGTTAAGCCACATCAACATTTTATATTCCTATTACTTTTTGTTTTATTATTTTTATAAAAAAATCAATATAAAATGTTGACGTGTCTTAACCATTACCACACAAACATGAAGGGATAGGAAGAGTATGAAAATGGGAGGGCAGACAATCCACCTCTAATTATTGTAGATAGAAAGTTTACATATGGTACTAAAATATCATACTCAATTTGAAAAAAAAAAAGGAAAAAGAAAAAAAGAGTTTTATAAATACAAATTAAGTTGTGGAAATGGTACCTCTGAAAATGAAAGATCTAGTAGTTTCGTCAAAGAAACGAAATAGGGAAAAAGACAATTGAAACGAAGACATTAATTAATCGATTAATAAAATGGATTATTCAAAGTTATGTCCTTTTCCCATAATTTAAAAAAAAAAATTGTCCTTTTATTTAATTTAATTTCATTTAATCCCTTAAATTTAACGTACATATTTCCGACTTTATCATGTTAAATTATTTCTTCCATTGGGACTTGAAATACTAATCACTCTGATTTGCAAGTTACAATTGTGTTTTCATCGACGCACGGTGCGAAGCATATCAAGGCTTTGACTGCCTTTTTGTTTTGATTTAGAACATAAGAAGAAGAGTTATTTTTCGAGTGTTGTTATTGTCACTCTAAGCTAAGGACCTATTTCGTATTCTATTCGAGTTTAAAATTTTTAATTTAAAAATTGTTTTTCAATTCACAACTCAAAAACTTGTTTGATGAGTTTGTTTTGCGAAACGTGAACTAAAAAATAACTAAAAATCTAGCCTAAAATTTGAGAACAACAAAAGTCTGTTTTTATTGTTTTTTTTTCCTTCTTCGTGACATATGTAGGACCTTGGCGTCGAGGCTAGCAACACCAAACATCAACTGAGAGTAACTGCGTGGTGATGAAAGATATCTTTCCGACGACTAAGAGAAATGTTTCGGCGAGTGTGACATAGATTCTTTTTGGCAGCAAATATATTTTTTTCACACCATCCCCAACCCACCGTCCTCTCACTCTAATCACCCAAATTTGAATGGCAACATTTGAAATTTGCAACCTACCACCATATATGTGAACAAAACCCACCTAAAGACAACATGATTTCATAGTATGAAATGTGAAATTGAGAGTTCCAAATCAAGTCGTCAAGATATTGGGTATTGGTGAATACTTTCAGGGTCGTTTCTTGGATCTCAACCCGACCTTAGTATCCTCCCTCAACCACCACCACCTAATGATTTTGTACAGGGCAAGTTTTTGCGTTATATAGCCTAAATCCTTTAAGATTTGAAACAGTTTCCAAGTTCGATACCAAACAAGTTTTTGGGTTGTAAAAAAATTGTTATTGAGAGAAGTTCATCCAAGTGGTTTTTAAAAATTATAAATTTTTTATTAGTAAAAACACTAAACAGGCTCTAAAGTTCTTATTATTTACTTTTTATATTTAGAATGAAAAGTACTCTTTTAGGTCTTGAATGATCCATCACCAACTTTACTGCTATTATTACAATTTAACCATCAATAACTAGGTTGTATTTTACACAAAAGACCTCGATAATGTTAAAAGTGAACATTATACGTATAATATATATATATATATATATATATATTATTTGGTTATATTTCTGGTGTGAGACACTATTTTTCAAACAATATATGTGACTGTGAGTGTTAAACTGTTAATTCCATTAATTAGAAAAATAAATCGTCTTCTTCTTACCAGAAATAAAAAAAAGAGTAACAAATTGTTTAATTTCAGTTTCTAGATCTTTCTCGGAACCCACTGCCGTAAACACAACCGCCCCGCGGAAGCTATTCGCCAACTCGCATCCTTCACTGCCATTGGTTATCAGGGCGCGTAGCCATCACATCCGAACCACGTGCTCCCACGTGGCGCTATCACCGCGCGCATAGTGTCCTTGCCCGTAATTTAAAAAGCGAGTTCACTCACTGCGTTAAACCCCTTTTCTGGTTCTCGCGAGAGGGAATGATACGAACTCCGAACGCGGGAGAGAGACAGCGAACTGTCACAGATTCGAGGTCCGATCGATCGCGCCATTCGATATTTTTCGGCATCCAATCTCCGCCGTCCGTCGGTCTCTGATTCCCTCTCGTCTCAGCGGCGGTGGATCTTCGGTAAGGCTCCGCCGTCCGGTTCCCAATCTCGCAGCCTCCGGTGAGTCTCATCGTTCGCTTTTTTTCTCCCTTCAGCATCAGGAGACACAATTATTTAGCAAATTTTTGCAATTTAAATATCGCGATCAGCATTTGATCTTGTGTTTGTGCTGGTACGGAAGATTCTGTGATCAATTTCTTATGAATTTCGTACTTGCAAAATACTAATAATCCACAATTTTTAAAAAATAAATTCACTCAATCTGTGTGTTTTTGTAATTTCCGTAGCTTTTTGTACATTAGAGAAGTTAAACGATTGCTGGAAATTTCTAAAATTACTGATTTTGGAGGAGAAATTTAAAAAAAAAGTAAAATAGAAAATGAGAATTTTTGGATACGGGAATTGAATGGACAAGAAATTGAAATTCGATTCTTGGTATTGCATTTTTGGATTGAAATTTCATGATGCAGACTGCTGTTGGGGATATATTCGGAGAAAGAGAGTTTCGTTGTTTTTCGCTTATATATAATGATTGAATTATTTCGGGAGAGTATTATGTTTTAAAGAAGGACTTAGAATTTGGTTTCTTTTGTGAAATTTTTATATATTCGTAAAATTATTTTAACGAATATGTTCTGTTGGAATGGCCAGCATTATCTCCAATGTAGAAAAATTTGCAAAAGTAGGTGGCTTCTTCGATGTAGCGTTTTCCAATGTGAAACTCGCAGTTGTCTTCTGCTTGGTTTGATTATGATTATTTACGGTGCAAACATTCTCTGTAAATTGGTGCCGGCATTTGAGTTTGGCATCTTCTTGAGAGAGAAGCTCTCTTCTGCTGCCGCTGCCGCTGCCTCTACAGCCGGCATTGGAACTTGCCATTGCCACTTCTTTGCTTCCCTTCATGTCTCCTGAATTGCATAAACCTGTACATAACCAGATGGCAGTTGCAACCTTCAAAGGACCTCTTAATGGTGAGTACCATGGGGATAAGAGGTTTGAGAGAAAAAATTCTGGCAAGAGACGTGTATTTGTGCAGACTGAAGCCGGTTCTGTTTTGGGTATAGAGCTAGATAGTAGTGACAATGCTCACACGGTGAAGAGGAAATTGCGGCTTGCACTAAATGTCCCAACTGATGAGAGTTCATTGGTATGTGGTGACATGGTGTTGAAGAATGATCTCAGCATTGTTAGAAATGATTCTCCGCTTCTTCTCACCAAGAACTTTATGCACAGAAGCTCATCTACCCCTTGTCTCTCACCTACTGGGAAGGATCTTCAGCAGAGGGATCAGAGTGGTCCAATTGAGGTACTGGGATACTCAGATCAGTTTGCCAAAACAAAAAAACTGGTTCGTGATATTGTGAAGGCTATACGAAATGACATTGATCCCGTTCCTGTTCACAGTGGTCTTGGAGGTGGATATTTCTTTAGAAATTGCGATGGTGAAAATATTGCCATTGTGAAACCGACGGATGAGGAACCGTATGCTCCAAACAACCCAAAAGGTTTTGTTGGGAAAGCTCTTGGACAACCAGGTCTCAAACGTTCTGTGCGCGTTGGGGAGACAGGTTTTAGAGAAGTTGCAGCATTCCTTCTTGATTACAACAATTTTGCTAACGTCCCTGCCACTGCTCTTGTGAAAATTACGCATTCAGTTTTTAATGTTAATGATGGAGTGAAGGTTAATATGCATCAAAATGGAAAGCAAGCAAGTAAGATTGCATCATTGCAGCAATTCGTTCCTCATGATTTTGATGCCAGTGATCACGGGACTTCTAGCTTCCCTGTTGCTGCTGTGCACAGAATAGGTATCCTAGATATCCGGATTCTTAACACAGACAGGCATGCCGGGAACCTTCTTGTTAGGAAGCTTGATGGTCCTGGGAAGTTTGGTCAGGTGGAGCTTGTACCCATTGATCATGGCTTTTGTCTGCCCGAAAGCTTGGAGGATCCATACTTTGAGTGGATACACTGGCCTCAGGCATCAATTCCTTTCTCTGATGATGAGCTTGCATATATCGATAAACTTGACCCTTTCAAAGACTCTGATATGCTTAGGATGGAGCTGCCCATGATTCGAGAGGCATGCCTACGAGTCTTGGTTCTTTGCACGATTTTCCTCAAGGGAGCTGCAGCTTTTGGCCTCTGTCTTTCCGAGATTGGTGAGATGATGAGTAGGGAATTTTGTGGGCACGAGGAGGAGCCGAGTGAACTTGAGGTAATATGCATTGAAGCAAAGAAACTGTTAGAGGAGAATATATATTGTGTGCCAAAAGCAATCAAGGAGGTGGTTCAATTTGATCTAGACTGTGGGGAGGAGTCAGATTTGAGTCCAATCACGGAAGTGAAAATGGAAACTGAGAAGAGGAATTTCCATTGTGGATCAAAAGGTGGAAACGGAAGATATGCACTTTCCAAACTAGAGGAGAGTGTGGAGGAGGACATGGATGGGCTCAACGGTAATGAATTACCTTCGAGGTTGGATGAATGTGCGGGTGTGGTGCAGGATCGGATTCCAAATGTTTCCAAGCTGTCAGCATCATTGAGAAACATCAGCATTGGTGAGAAGAGTTGGCGACACCTAGGTTTGAAGCAAAAGAACGGTTGTTGGGCTGGCTCATCGTCTGGAAACAGGAGTGTGAATGAGCAGCTACCTGTGAGCAGCAGTTTCGTGAAGCTGGCGGATATGAACAAAGAGGAATGGATGCAGTTTCTTGAGAATTTCCAGAGATTGCTCCGTCCTGCTTTCGCTAATCGCAAAGCAGGGAATCGAGGTCAGAGGCAGAGACAGAGGCTAGGGACTTCATGCCAGTTTTGAGGCAATATTTTGTTGGATAAATAAACCGAGTACTTGTAAGGTACGGTGCTTGGTGGTGGTGTTTTTTTTTCCCCTTCTTTTCAGAAGGTTTTTGTGTGGGAAGAACTGCTTCCGGAGTCTGATTTACAACTTCGAAGTCGTGTTGACTTTGTGGAGACTAGAGAGTGAATAAATGTTGTTTCAAGCATATATATGCAAGTACATGAGAAAATTATGCAGATGGCGTTTGAAAGCAATGATGCATGCATTTTGATGTGGTTCAGTCTCCATTGATTCTCCTTGCTTAACATTTAACAATTCGAAAATTCTACGATGTTTCGGTGTATAGTATGCAACGTCTAAAAGTCCACTGTGTCTCAGTCTCCATATCCCTCGCTCAGCGATGCCGCGCCGGCACCCTTTCTCAACCCTCAACTCTCAGCCAATATCGAACAACATTTTAATAATCGTAACACCACCAAATTTTCCTACATTTCTCATCTCTCTGCCGGAAACTAAATATTCTAATATTCTCGTTATTTATTCTTTTATTCATATTAATTTTTTGGGTAAATTACATAAAACTACCTCAACTAATAGGCCAGTTACAGTTTCATACCTCATCTTTAAAAAATTTCAATGTCATACCTTATCTTCGAATTTGTTGCAATGTCATACCTTTCGTCAGTTGTTTGTCAATTCCATCGTTAAATGCTGACTTGGCTTGAGACGGGACCCACTTTGTATTAAAACATTAATTAAATATTAACTAAATATTAAAAAAATTAAATAAAAAAAAAAAAAACCAAACCCACAGATCTTCCCCATCGACCCGTGCCCCCCTCCCCCCAAAAACCTTCCTTCACCACCCCACCGTCGCCTCTCTTCCTCCATCTTCTCCACCCCGCTGCTACTTAATCTCTACTCGTGAGCCACCGACGCGCTGACCTCGAGCGAACCAGGAAGATCCTTGATAGCGCACGAAGCCACCTCCTGAGTTCGGGTCAACGCCATCGTTTTGGGCGTTCGGGTGCAGATTGTCAGAGGGAAGGGGGTCGTCGGAGAAAACCGACTTGAAGAAATCCATGGGTGCATACCAACTTGAAGATTTGGGTGTAGGATCGGAGGAGAAAGGGTTGGGTGGGACGCGGTAGAGAGAAGGTACGAGGGTGTTGGGAAGTTTCCCCGGCGGGGAGGGGAGGGGGAATCCATGGGTGCAGATCTGGGTGTAGGATCGGAGAAGAGATGGTTGGGTGGGATGCGGTGGAGAGAAGGTAGGAGGGTGATGGGAAGTTTCCCAGGGGAGGGGATTTGGGTGTGGGTTTGGTTTTTTGGTTTATTTATTTATTTAAATTTTTAAAATTTTAATAAAAAGTGAGTCTTGTCTTAAGCCACGTCGGCATTTAATGGAGAAATTGATAGACAACTGACGGAAGATATGACATTACAACAAATTCAAAGATAAGGTATGACATTGAAATTTTTTAAAGACGGGGTATGAAATTGTGACTGATCCAATAGTTGAGGTAATTTTATGTAATTTATCCTAATTTTTTTATTGGTCAGATATCCGAAGTCCAGTGTTTCTGGTAATATTTTAGTCTACCTTTTCCGGCCAGATGTCTGAAGTTACATAGAGAAGCTTCGCGGGCAACTAGAAAAGTTTAGGGTTTAGGGTTTAGTCAAATGTACTTAGAGGTAAAAGGGTGTACTTTCGGTGTTTTGAGTTACTCCAGGTGCGTTTCAACAAGGAATGTTTTTGAGTTTCAAGTTTTTGGCGAAGTTTAAGGCTCGTTTGGTACTTTACTTGAATCTAATTTTTTTAACTCAAAAATAATTTTTAAGTTTTAAATCTTAAAAACTTGTTTGGTAGAACTATTTTAAAAAACTAAACTCAAGACTAACTAAAAAATATAATCTATTATTTAAAAACATAAAAAGTGAGTTTTTAGAGTTTTTAAACTTAAACTCACTCATTTCTTTTCTCTCACTCTTCCCCTCTCACTTCAAATCTATATCTCTCTCTTTTCTTTTTTCTCTTTTTTTTTTATAATCTTTTTTGTCTCTCCTCCAATCCACTCTCTTCATTCTCTCAGATTTTTTCTCCTACTCCTCTTCCTCTCTTTCTCGTCCGATCCTCTATCTTCTTTCTTTTTCCTTCAATCATCTCTTACTTTCTTTCCTCCTCTCTCATGCGACCCCTTCTTTTTAGATATTTTTGCTTCAGTCGTAAGATTTAAAATTTTTAAATCGCAAACTAATCAAGTTTTTGAGTCTTAAAGTAAATTGTTTTCAAGAAATGTTTTTAAGAAATGTTTTGAAAAATGATAAAAATTTTCAAATAGATACAAATAGGCCGTATCTTCATTAACGATTAGGATATTTCAGCCATTCATCACATGTCTTTTTTTTTTTTTTTTCGAGCAAGGATTATCTTACTGTTTTAACTATTGATATAACTTTTATTCTTTTGATACATGCGAAATTCTACTTACCAATCTAAACTGTAGAAGAAAGACGCAAACTTGAGTGCATAGGAGATGGATCTTAGCTGAAGTTGCTATGTTCATGTCTGTGTATTTAATTTTGTTCTTCGTTTGGTTCATTTCTTTGATTGCTTAGTTCATTTTATCTGTTGAGTGTATCATTTCACATTTCGAGTTTCCCCTTTTGAATCAACAATCAAACACTCAGCAGGCACAATCCATGACCCAAAACTAGCAGCATCAGTTAGTTTTTGGAGCCGCTGTGGTCACATGAGATGTGAGTTAGGCCACTTCTCAAAACAACGATCACGAATTTGCTTGAATTCACTTCACTTCAATTTCCATGAGAGTTAAACAAACCATCACATATCAGTTACCATTACATGTCACCAAAACTGCTGTTCCCGCCTCACTAAAAGCTCACACCAATTGGTCTTCCACGTGAACTGACCAATCACATCAATATATACATGTACACACACACACACACACACACACACACACACACACCTATATTATATCGGTGTTCTAGCAGCAAATTAAGGCAGAAAATGAGAATGAAACCCATGCCACTAATATTCTTGTTCACAGTTATTTTGTTGCATCTTCACTCACTGCAGATGCATAGTTTGCCAATTGCACCAGCGCTGTATGTGTTTGAGGATTCACTGTTTGACAGTGGTAACAATAATGTTTTGCCAACTATTTGTAAGGCAGACTATCTGCCTTATGGGGTGAATTTTGTCAAGGGAGCCACTGGAAGATTTACCAATGGCAGAACATTAGCAGATTTTATAGGTAAATTTTTAGAAAAACTAATAAAAATGGCTTGAAAACTTTGAGATTTAACGATAAGGACAAAATAAAGGGTAAAGTGAATAGTATAATGTTTGACTTTTTAGTATAAAAATGTGGTTTTTCGTTAAAGTGAACAATACCGCGGGTTTTTCGTTAAAACTCCCTAAATTTTTTGGTTTATTTTCGGTTCATATCTTTTATTGGCTCTAACTCTTTGTACTGTAGTTTCTAGCTTTCTGTTGAAATCTCGCTCTCCCTCCCTCTCTCTCTCTTCTTTTTTTAGCTCGAGTTTCTTGGCCTACCATATCCTCCCCCATACATGAGCATACGTGGATCGGTGACAGCGCTTAAAGGCCTAAATTATGCATTTGACTCTTGTGGCATTCTACCAGAAACTGGAAGCCAATTGTGTAAGCTTAGGCATGAGTCAGTCAAGTTAATTAATTATTAGATGAAGTTGGTTTAGTTAACTGGTGCTCTTTAATTAACATCCATCTTTTCATCATGTTTTGCTAATGAGATCATTAATTTAGAACCATTCAAATCCAATTAATCGCAGCCAACATGCTTGGCAGGCAAGGAATTGCTATATATACTTGGTATGAGTTTTCTTTCATCTTTTTCTACTTTTGCAGGGTAAATGCTTAGATCTAAAAGACCAGATAGATTTGTTTCAACGAACAGATTTGTTTCAACGAACAGTGAAGTCAGACTTGCCAGGACAAATAAAAAATCAAAACGATCTTTTGCAGCACTTGTTCAAATCTATATTTCTGTTTTCTGTTGGCAGCAATGATTTCATCAACAACTACCTCGAACCTGCGGTCTTCGATACAAGCAAGCGCTACTCTCGTCAACAATTTGTACAAGTCTTAATGGATGCAATTGCTCGCCATATGGAGGTACCAATATCTGATCTCTTTCTCTCTTGTCATTCAGTATCTAAGTAAAATAATGATTAGTGTTCTTGGTGAAAATGTTTCAGACGCTATACAATTTAGGAGTCAGGAAAACAGTCATGTTTGAAATTGGTCCGCTTGGATGCATCCCGTCAATTTCAAAAGCACAGAATCACAGTGAACTGTGTGGAAGATACAAATGATAGCCTCAGTTTTTAATGATGAGCTTCGCGCAACGCTTGCAAATTTAACCACCATTTTCCAAGGCTCTTTCTTTGTTCTTGGTCGAGCTAATAGGATTGGTTATGATGCAATTACAAATCCTATTAAATATGGTAAATTCAAAAACTATGTTATCCTCTCCCATTTAATTTATTCGATTTTGTTAATGATTTATATGTTTTGATCGAACAGGGCTAATGGATGGAAGCAGTCCATGCTGCACTACTTGGGCAAATGGGACTTCAGGGTGCATTCCATTTCTTACACCGTGTTCCGAACCAAATAATCACTTCTTTTGGGATGCTTATCATCTTACTGAATCTGCATATTCAGTTATAGCAACAAGCTGCTTCAATGGTTCAACTGTTTGCACCCCATTAAACATTAAGCAACTCGTGGAAATGTAATAACATGTTTGTACGAATCAGTGATTAAGATTATTTATCGACCTAGCTAGCTCAAGACTCTTGATTTTATGGAATCATGGATAAACTGTTGTAACTACATGTTTGCATAAAGAATAATTAACTTAATTATCAGCACTATGATGTAGTTACATCAGAGAACAAGTCTAACTACAGATTATTAGCAGAGATGCTAGCTGTATGAAGGCACACTTAAAGCAGTACACGCCACAATTCTACACAGACTAGCTAACTATAGGGGCCTGATCACTGTATTATTAAACTGGTTTAGAGATTGAGGCAATCTCAATGCTGTGGCTCATGATTGTTTATGGGCGGTTTGCAGCGCCAATCTCTTCCCTTATAATCTTTATTCATCAGGCTTAATGTTTCTCTTGTTGCCTTAAGAAGCCTTCTTGTTTCCTCTGTCAACTAATGATCATCAGTTTCATCATACTTAGTAGTCTCTTTCAATGGATAAGTACTGTCCTTACCTGCAATCAGATAACAAAAAATCTTAACATGAACTTTGTATTATTCACCTTCTTCCTCAATATATCAACCCTTAAAGCAGTACGGTAAGTTTCATTTGCATCCAAATAAACACATATATTGCAATCTTCTTAAGCATCAAAGCAAGAAATTCCCTCCAATATGCATATATCTTTAATTTGGAATACTAATTAATACATACAATGATACAAACAAACTAGCCTAGCTACGCATGATATATCTATCATACGCATATTTTTACTACAGCACGCATCTTATAACAAGAAGACGGCGAGGGTACATAAACTGATCTAAAATTGAACTTGGTTTTTCAATGAATTTCTCAATTATTATAAGGAGTAGTAGTACTAGTATAACTTTTCTCATAATCAATCCAAACTTAAAATTTTACATTTAGATCTCCATTTCCTACGAAGTCACAATTTTCATCAAAACTACGGTTGTACCTGAATTCGTTGATGTAGTAGAGCTACGGGTATCTCCATTTGGCCCAACTGCACTTACAGGCTCTAACTTCCTAAACACTTTGTGTGCCACCATTTTTCTTCCTCCAAGCCCTGTCATCCTTGACCCAGCTGTTGAAATTCCATGATCGATTATTTCCCGCACATACACTTATATGGTTAGCTTACAAATGAATAATTGGTAATGGCACATGAAACAAGAGAAGTGCTTGCACCCCTCAAAGAGCTTCTTGCACTCGTCTAAAATTGTGCAATTATTACGATAATGTCATTTTGCGCACTTCACCATAAGAGTGCAAGAAGCTCTCTAAAGAGTGCAAATATATAGTATTGCCCTACGTACGAGGATCATGAAATAACAAGCACCTGTTGATCAGATGGTCCATTTCCGGTCACTGAAAACTCTTTTTTACCTACAAAAAGTAAACATAAGAACCTCTTAGATACAAATCTACGAGAAATACTCTAAATCAAATTAATGGACTAATAGGAGAAGATTAACCTATCTACCTTGATGAGCATGTGTAGTAAACTCGCCTAGGGCATGCATAACAAAAAGAAGCCCAACTACGAAGCTTGCAAACTGTTGCATAACTTTGTGATTTCTTCCTTAATTAGTCGTTGATTAACAACAACAGAAGGGAAACTAATTGGGAGAGACTAATGTGCGTATTATAGAGACCCGCGAGTCAAAGCTAGGGCTTCAGTCGCCTGCATAAAATATTAGTTCTCATGCGCACAGACAGGAACTTGGGAAGAACGCAAACCTAAATAATCTAATGTATAAAATATTCAAAGGAAAACAGCGTTTTCGGTTTTCAAAACTTTGAATGTGGTTTCACCGTCAGTCTCAGTCTCACGAGTTAATTAGTTGGAACCTGCAGAGGCTAGCAGGTTATTAAACGTATGATGATACATATTAATTAAATAATTAATGAAAGTAGGTAATATGAAATATGAAGCATGAAATAGGGTTTCTAATGTTTTAGCGTGTCTCTCCTGCCATGCACGCTCTAAGCTAGATGAGTCACTAACATTAACCCAGACAGGCTACAGGTGTAGTGTAGTATAGTGATTAAGATCAGGACTACTCTGAGAGATGTCTCAACTAAGTATCCAAACACACAATTACTGTTAGATTACAGAGAAGAGTGATGATTATGTGTTTCTGGAAGAAAATGAGAATTTCAGAGAGAGGATTCACAAAGAAGAGTGAACTGATTTCATTTCTTCTTCATTTCTAATCGGAATGTAACCGATTGCAAATTAATACAGAGCACTATCACACTTTCTCTCTCATAACAGAAAGTATACATCACAGCCATTCATTTCATCTATCCTATGAGATAGCTATAGCTGTCACTCTACATTGTTAACTCTCATTCAATCTAGAGCATTTGCTTTGGAATGTAATCCAATGGCTCTAATTAAAACAAGTAAAATGAATTGATTTATTTCAGCTAAAACACTTAAACACTAACAATTACCAAGTTTCTTTGTAAGTTTTAAGGCTAGGGCACGCTTACCTTTTACCAAGTTTTTCATGAGGGGTGGTGCTAGGGAGACAAAATTTGCAAATTAAATAATTTATCATCAATAGGAATGAGCACGTTTACTAAATCATCAACTTCCATGTCATTTAGTTTACAAAATTTAATCTACAAATTTAATTTCCCTAGCATTATCCTTCGTGAAGAGAATCCCATGAATTGAATTATATAAAGGGGAGAAAAGACCACAAGAGTTACTTAGCAGGATTACGAAGGCACAAACTTAATTCCACAGCACTATTTGTTATAGTATCCTATGCCTGATAAAAAAAAAAAGAAAATAAATATTCCTAGGTGGGCAAAATTGTGAGCCTAGCTAGCTAAACCCGTCAGTTTGAAAAAGACTGAGTACTACTCAATCTCAAGGCCGTGGCTGAAGATTGTGTACTGGCGGCTTGCGGCGGCCCATTTGATGGTGGTAATCTTTACGCATCAGGTTTGCTATCTCTCTTGTCGCCTTAAGAAGGCTTCTTGCTTCATTATCTGTCAACTTATGATCGTCTTTTTCATCATAACTTTTAGTCATTTGAGCTTCGGTTGTTGGGTGCTTTGTCTTGAAATCTTCGGAGTGATTTGGTATAAGATCTCTGGGAATTTCCAAACTACCGGCAGAAGTACTTTTCAATGTTGTTAGCTCCAGTATCTTCACATTATCCTGGTTCATGTGTAAACATATAACCAAGTTAGAATCAAATTAAAGTCAAAAGTTAAGCTATTGGAATTGGCTAGTTACAGGGTTTGAAACCCTCCAATGTTAGAAATTAAAAAGCCAAAATTTGAAAGTAATTACGAAAGTTTGTGTGTGTGTGTGTGTGTGAGAGAGAGAGAGAGAGAGACCTGTTGGTTCATTTGGTTTTGAAGTTTTCCACTGAAATTGCTTGAAGCTTTAGGATTATCCTTACCTGCAATTAGAGAACAAGTATACAACATAAATCATGTATTATTTACCACCTTTCCTCAAAATCATCATCTCAAAATTGGTTCCACAACCATTACAAAACAAAATTGTAATCTCATAATTTTCCATCCATTACTCACAAGCATTGCAAGGAGGCTTAAGCATCAAATTAAGCAAAGAAAATCCCCTCCAACACATATATCTTCTTTGAATACTAATACATATATACAACCACACTAGCTAGCTAGCTAAATATAGCTACTACGTGATATAACTATCACACATGTTTTCACTAGAGCATCTGACAACACGAGCCGGGGAAGACAGATAACCTCAGAACGTTCGAAATAATTTTCTCAATTGTGTTTGGGAGGATGGCGTGCAGGCCCGTGATAATCAGCACCAAAAGCTACAAAATCATGATGAGAGACTTTGGAGTACTTCTTAGAACTAGCAGTACTAGTATTACTTTTATCACGATCTCCAAGTTTACATTTTACATTTAGATCTTCCCTTCCTTCAAAGTTACAATTTCCATCAGAAGTACTACGGTTTGCACCTGGATTCTTGGAAGTGGTACTAGCCTCTTCATTTTGCTGCCCATCTGGTCTTACTGGCTCTGATTTCCTTAACACTCTGTGTGCCACCATTTTCCTTCCTCCAAGCCCTATCATCCTTGACCCAGCTATTGAAATTCCATCAACATTTGGTTCCTGCATATTTTATGGATTAGCTTATAAATCAAAGGTTTAAGTCATATTCCCCAGAAAGCTTCTTGCACTTCTGAAACACAGTTCAAATAACACCATGTATTATAGTGGTGCTATTTGAGGAGTGTAAGAAGCTCTCTAAGGAGAGTGCAAGAAGCTCTCTGAGGAGAGTTCAAGTTCAAAGTATGCTTTACCTTTTGATCAGGCAATACTGCACGTTTCCCAGTCATTGAAATATCTTCTTTACCTACAAATTAAACAAGAGTGTTATAAGAGAAAAATACTCCAAATTTTTTATGAGAAATCCCCAGCCGAATATATTGAAGAGAAAAAGCTATACATATCTAGTATATATCTACCTTGATGAGCATGTGCAGTGCTAAACTGACCTAGGGCAAGCATACCAAAAAGAAGCCCTACTACCAAGCTTGTAAGCTGTAGCATCATTGTGTTTATAGTTTCTTCTTAGCCTTAACTTTCTAGCAAAAGGGTAGTGATCTTAGATTGACAACAAGAAGAGAGGAAACTTGTACAGACTGATGTGGGTTTTATAGAGAAAGTTCAAACCCAAGTACAAGCTAGGGTTTAGGCATGTACTTCGCCTCCATAAAATAGGAAATAGATCCTCTCTGGATCCCTTCCTCCTAATCCACCAAATCAGGAAACCCGTGTTATTGAAATTTGATCCAACCGTTACAAACAGGGGCTCACTTTAAAAGTTATAATAACTTCAGCCGTTTGATCAATTTTCAATGATACGGATTCCCTGATTTGGTAGATTAAGAGGAAAGGATCCGAAGAGGATCCCTTTCCCATAAAATATAATTCTCAAGGGTACAGACATGACTTGGAAGAACTCGAAACTAATTAATCAAATCTATAAAGTATTCGAAACCCTCATGTGCAACCAGAAAACAGTGAAAGGAAAACAACGTTTTCAATTTCCAAAACTTTAAATGTGGTTTCACAAGTTAATTATACAGAATTTTAGTTGTTAAAAAATGTGTCACTAACAACCCCTTGTAGTATATGCTGATATGATCAGGGTAGAGAAAAACCTATAGACAGTACTCATCCAAGTTAAATTGAAAATTGCATTAGCTTATTTGAGGAAGGTCAAAATATCAGACATTATATTCAGCACTAGAAAAATTAAATGTAAACTAATTAAAATTATACTAGCTTTATTAGGCATTTTGCAAGGTAAGCATGTTGGTATTGGTGTAATCTTCATGGAAATCTTACTTTTGTAAGCTTAATTATATAAAACCAAGTTGAAAAGTAAAAAAAAAAGATCAAGTTAATTAAATATAGTCATCAGATACCAGCTTTTATTTTTCATTTAATTAATTACTAAACCAACCAACAGTAAAAATATGATTAGATAATTATAATCGGGTCAATATATCGTAGCTGCAAGGATCAGGTCAGTCGGAGATTCGGTCCTCACCTTTCAATATAAATTACAAACAAGTAGAAGCATGAGATTTTTAAACAAAGCTATCAAGACTTCTGCCAAAAGTTAATTTCTTTGTCTTTCTACAGCGGAGAATATTCATTTTGTTCACAACACATCACATGCTTCAGCGTGATCAGATCAACTGAATCACTTCTTCCTCATCATTTGCTTAAAATTATATTTTGAAATTGACGAAATTAAATGTAAATCACACAACAGAAATAAATAAGAATGAAAAATAAAAATAGGGTGCTTAAGAGTTAAGAGAAATCCGTGTTCCCTTCACAACTAAAAATTTCCCGTGATGGAAGGCAAGCTGTCATAGTTCCCGAAGAGTCTGCAGAAACATTGACAAGTGATTTCGCATAGAATTGCTCAAAACACTTCCCCTTAAACAAATTAGGGTTTCTACTTCCTATATGTGGTGTGTTGAAATTTTAGAACACGAGGGCGTGACCTCCAACTCTATGATAGTGCTTTCATCTTGACAACAGTGCATTGCATACTGTGTGGTTTCCAAGTAAGTTGGTTCGAGACATATTGGCCGGCATACCTACACAACAAATATTGCTTTATTAACACCACCTTCTTAAACTATAAGTAACTCTCGTACAAAGTATTGGCTTACTTGAAAATTAAAATCTAAAATGGAACCATATTTAGAACTTATATCCTTTTTAATTAATTAAATGATCGTATTGATAAAATGTCGATAGCATTGGTAGATAACATTCCAATAGTATAACATTTTGACATGTTATCGGCACATTATCAACATTGTCTGCAAAATTTATTGTGTAACAAAGACTTTTAACAAAAACAAACATCTTGCTCAGAAAATATCATGCAAGTTTCTTGGCTTGCTTTGAATGCATTCTGCACTGATAACTAATAAAACGTACAGAGCATCCCAGAAGTTTACAGGGAAAAAAAATTCTGCAGCTCACTAATGGAAATGGATACATTGGCATGGAGAAAGTCGGCTCCTGTACGTTACCAATATTGTCCGTCTCCAGAGTTGTTTAGGAAGATATTTTGATAGAGTTATCCAGATAGTGGCAGTCTATACCACAGAAAATTGCTGAGGAGCACAAACCAGAATGAACCTTTATGCTGGTTCCGAGCTACCAGCACTTAAAGTTATAGACATAAATCAATACAAAATTGGATCAGAGACATGCATCTCATCTCATGCACAAGTCTTAATTTCTGTACCAGGTTAAGCTTTTGAGATTTAGGAAGTTGTATATGTCTTACCACAGTTACCATCAAAGCATGGGATTGATCAACACTAAAATCAGAAGCTGATTAATTGGTCTCAAAAAGGACACAGCACATGCATGCTTGTGTGCATATATCTATATATGTGGGTTAGGATTGGAGGGCCTATTTTTTGACATATATTTTATGGGGTCCACATTGTAACTTTTTTCAATGATCTGAACGGTTTATATTTCAATTCATCATCAATGTATTAAAAGCGTGAGGCGTGGGCGAGGCGTCCGAGGGATAGCCCAGCCTAAGCGTGAGGTGAAGCCTTACGGGACTTTAAATAATAGGGAATTGCTGAGAAAAACAGAGGAAAGAGGTGAGAAAAACAGAGGAAACAGCAGGGTTTTAGATATAAGAGTAACAGACTTGGCCAAAACGACGTCGTTTTGGGCCAAGTCATTTAAAAAAAATTAAAGACTTGGCCAAAACGACGTCGTTTTGGACCAAGTCTTTAAAAAACAAAAAAAAAAACCCTCCTTCTTCTCCGCGGTCGTCTTCCTCGTGAAGACGCCGCACACCTGCAACCCTAAACCCAGATGGCAGAGCTTGAAAACAGAGCATTCGACTTCGATTTTGGGTCGGGGATGGATTTGGGAACGCCCTCCAACCGCCTTTAGGCGCGCCTCAGCCGCCTAGTCTCGCCTCGACCACGCCTCGGCGAGTTTTCGCCCACTCCCACTGGGCAGAGGCGTTATCACTCCCGCCCCGCCTCCAAAGCCGTCTAGGCGCGCCTCGGGGCGCGTCTTTTAAAACATTGTTCATCATTAATAGATTATCTTTGCAAAATGTTAGACAAATCCAAAACTATTAAGATGTTCATTTATAGTGAAAAAAAAAATTACGAATACGGTTTTGCTAAAAAAAAAAAAAAAAAAAAACTAAAATAACTATCATTTGATCCGACGGTCATATGGTTTCGAACTTGGATTATTTTTGGTGAATTTCATCTTTGAGGGAAGATCTAAAATATAAATGGTTGGATCATTGAAATCCATTAACTTTCACAATAATGTGATTATACATGTTTTTTTTTTTTTTTTGAGAAATATACATGTTAAATTGTGAGCACTCAATGTCATGATAATGTGATTAAAAATGTTAGAACTTGAGCATTCAATTTGAAATCAATTAGAGGCACATAAACTTTTTAGCACTTTATGCAAACCTTTCATCTCTAATATGAGATACTATCAAATTATTTTAAGCACTTTAAGGAAGTACTCAAATTTTATTGTGTGACGAGGAAGCTTTAATACGATGTTACTCAAAAACACTTGACAATGCGTGTTGAAGTTTGTGCAAGACTATCTTCGGTGTGGGATACTATCAACAAGAAACATGATCAATTTACAATATGCGAACTTGTAAAGGGATCCATTTGAGAACCCAAGAACAAAAATTCCCCTTTTTTTTTAATACAAGATCAAAGACTCCCTTTAGATTGCAATCTTACTTTTAAGGAAAACTAACAAAAAGTCCAAAAAAACTTCTCTTTTAACGAAAAGCCATTTTTAAAGGTATAGTGAATAGTGTCAGTTAAAGGTAAAAATATGATTTTTCGTTAAAAATAAACAATATCATGAGTGTTTTGTTAAAACTCCCAACTTTTATCATTTGTTACTTGTTTGTGGAAGCAAAGGCCGATAATGCAGAGGTGAGAGATGGAGAGGTCCACGTTGATGGGGGAGGAACCAAAACCCAATGGGCTTTAACCATTTGAAAGCCAGAGGTCAATTTACTAGGTTGGCTTCTACCACCACTTGCATTCATTACATAACCAAAAGCTTCAGGTCACAAGTCCAAAATTGTGAAATGAAGAAAATTATCATCATTTTTGCCTGGGAAATGGAACTGCTCTTAGAGAAAACAGACCTATATCACCAACCAAAAGACAGAAAAGGAATTTAACTGAAATGAGCAAGGCACAGTAACACTTCAAAATATACGGGTTGGTATGTTAATAGTTCAAAATGTTTACAAGAATTGGAAAAGTTGCCTTCTTACAGTTTTTACTCCGATCGACCATGTTCTTTCTCTACCAAGCCCAGCCTTTGTCTCAAAACTAAAGCCTTGCTCAATCACTAGACAACAGACATCACAAAGCCCTTGTATTTCACAAGTGCAGTCGATAGCATCTCATTTACAAAACTAGTTTTTCTGGGATGCACTCACATTGCCAATACATGAGGCTGTTCAACTCAAAAGATTAGCCAACAAGTCCAGTGTCAAATACCTTGAATCCATCGAGCATCAATTTTTTTTTAAGTAGCAAAAGAATAGATCAAGAGACCAACGCCAACTGGAGATGGTATCCGCTAATAATTCTCTGACTCGTAATTGCAAAAACTGGAGAGCAAAATTTTCTGCTTAGTATACAGAAGCATCAAATCTCGGCTCATAGAAACAAACCTGGCTGTTGTATGACTGCAGTGCACAGCCAGCAATCCATGACCACACCTTCTTATCAACGTCGTAAAGAAGACCCTTTCCTTGGTTCCAAGATGTGAAGCAGATCAAGTTATCCTGTCCAGAGCACTCGAACCTCTCGGCTGATAACCTTAACAGAGATCTGAAATACTTCGGAGGCATCCTGCTAATCTCTACCCATAAAAATTTAGCATGATCCAGTTCCCAAATTCTCATACTCTGAAGAGTACTATAAAGACCAATCCTTCCAACTAGAAACAGACGCTTCTGGGTGCCAGCAACCAAATAACCATCCAATAGAGACCGCGGGAACTTAGCTGGAATGTG